TCACCCGATCTTAAAGTTACAGTCGGTGACCCAACTCTGTTGCCTGCCCATAGGATCAGTTTGGCTCCTAAGTGAATCTGAAGGATTTTGGCCGTTGGGTTCCTTAGACTTTTTGTTTATTTGTTTGTTTGTTTCTTTTGGAGATTACTTAGATTTTTATTCCCTCTTCATGTACAGTATTTCTAGACAACTCATACATCTTGAACACCCATGAAAACTCATTTCTAATGATACTAATTAAAAGACAACCTCCAGGGGCACCTGGCTGGCTCAATTGGTAGAGCTTGCAGCTCTTGATCTCAGGGTTGTGAGTTCAAGCCCCGTGTTGGCTGTGGAGCCTACTTTAAAAAAAACAAAAACAAAAAAACAATCTCCAGTGTTGATCAGATCAGCATTTGGAATGTGAGCTTCTGACTAGAGTCTTTCAGATGGTAGCCAGCCACCCCTGGAGGGTATATTCCCAATGAGGATCCTACAGATTTTTTTTTTTTTTAAGATTTTATTTATTTGACAGAGAAAGACAGTGAGAGAGGGAACACAAGCAGGGGGAGAGGGTGAGGGGGAAGCAGGCTTCCCACTGAGCAGGGAGCCTGATGCCAGGCTCGATCCCAGGACCCTGGGACCATGACCTGAGCCGAAGGCAGACGCAGCCACCCAGGCTCCCCAAGAATCCTACAGATCTTAAATCACTGCACCTCGCATGTAAAGTAAAACTAACTCATTATTCTTCACTGTTCGCGCTGAGGTATTTTGAATCACGTGCAATATAACAAGAAGACATGGTGATTCAACTTTTAAATTATAAAAGCCACACATATTTTTTGTATAAAATCTGGGAAAAATACATATTCATATATAAAGTATCCATATCCTATGCCCAGAGATAACCTATAACCTTTATATCTTTTTTATATGTATAGTTTTATAGGTATTTGTACATGTGTATACAATGTGTTATGTTGGACTGAAGGATACTTGTAATCACATTTTACTCTCAGCTGTGAATGCTGCTTTTGTGGCTTTAATAGATCACAGTAATTTTTCTGACTCATGCAATGTTTTGCATGAATGTGAATTTCATTGGTTAAGACAGATGGGAGAAGACAGATGGAGTAGTAGATGTTTAGTGGGAGAAATTGACCAGCTTGGCCAAGAAGAATTGGGTGTTGAGTTCGAGACAGGGGCATTTTAATTTTTTTATTGTTATGTTAATCACCATATATTACATCATTAGTTTTTGATGCAGTGTTCCATGATTCATTGTTTGTTCATAACACCCAGTGCTCCATGCAGAACGTGCCCTCCTCAATACCCATCACCAGGCTAACCCATCCCCCCACCCCCCTACCCTCTAGAACCCTCAGTTTGTTTTTCAGAGTCCATCATCTCTCATGGTTCGTCTCCCCCTCTGACATACTCCCCTTTTCTTCCTCTCCTGTTATCTTCTTCTTTTCCTTTTTTCTTAAAATATGTTGTGTTATTTGTTTCAGAAGTACAGATCTGTGATTCAACAGTCTTGCACAATTCACAGCGCTCACCGTAGCACATACCCTCCCCAATGTCTATCACCCAGCCATCCCATCCCTCCCACCCCCAACCACTCCAGTAACACTCAGTTTGTTTCCTGAGATTAAGAATTCCTCATATCAGTGAGGTCATGTGATACATGTCTTTCTCTGATTGACTTATTTCACTCAGCATAACACCCTCCAGTTCCATCCACGTCGTTGCAAATGGCAAGATCTCATTCCTTTTGATGGCTGCATAATATTCCATTGTGTATATATACCACATCTTCTTTATCCATTCATCTGTCGATGGGCATCTTGGCTCTTTCCACAGTTTGGCTATTGTGGACATTGCTGCTATAAACATTGGGGTACATGTACCCCTTCGGGTCCCTACATTTGTATCTTTGGGGTAAATACCCAGTAGTGCAATTGCTGGATCGAACGGTAGCTCTAATTTCAACTGTTTGAGGAACCTCCATACTGTTTTCCAGAGGGGTTGCACCAGCTTGCATTCCCACCAACAGTGTAGGAGGGTTCCGAGACAGGGGCATTTTAAAGGTGACTCTTTGCCCCAGGAGTGTGTCTCCCTCTGACCAGGCAAAAGCAGGTTCCAGACTGGTTTTCCAGTTAATCCATCAACATTTGCACATGTGGGAGGTAATTTCCAGCCCACCTTCGGTTTCTTCCTTCCTTTCTTCTTGTGTTGATTCCTGTATTGACTTCCTAGAGTAACTTCTGATATAAATTGAGATTTTTCTTTAAAATGTGTTTTTAGTGTACAGAGGTGTCATTTAAAAGTCAAATCCATGAAGGAATATTTTTTACCTGCTGGGTTTAATTTCAGATGCCAGTGTTATCATAAAATGCAAACCACCCTAGACTCTGTTTTAAAACTTTGGACAAATCGTGCCAGTTGAAATTAACTTTTGCAGATGGAGCGAGGAAAAGAGGAAAAGAAGTGTCTTAAAGAGTTTTTTAAAAATGCTTTTAAATATTAACACCACTTGAGTTCAGCTCCATATATATTCTTGCTTTCCCCTGAAGTCCAAATTCACCAAGAGCTTTCCAGTTTTTGCTCTATTAAACTTTTTTTTTTTTTTTTTTTGAGTGAGAGCAAACAGTGGTGTTATATTGAACTCTGGGAAGAAAAATCCTAAGATTCAGTATGAAGGATTTAGGATAGATCAGAGGGAAAAGGACCCCTGGCAAAGGTTGTTAGAATCAGTTCCTTAGGGAGAGGAGAGCCTGACGTGTTGTTGGCATAGGTATAACCTTTGGCCAGTTGGTCTTTTTAGGCCTCGGTTTCTCATCCCTTAAAGGGGGATGAAAACTGGTTCCTACCTCATAGGTTATTACTGCTAGCTGTCTTTGCTACTATTATTATAAGTGAACTGAAAACAAACAAACAAACAAAAAAACCCGCAAAGGGCCATTTTAATGTGGTCGTATCTCCTAAAGGAGATTCGAGTAGGGTGTTCAGGTTGAGATCACCCATTTGGTGGTGTCAGCCATACTTGTTGGGGTCTGTTTTCTGGAAAAGCCTGAGTACTGCTCCTCGTTCAGCTCTCGAGGTGGGGCTCACCCTGTCACATGTTCCTTTGCTCCGCACTTATTCAAGGGCTCTCTCATTGAAGACTCTCAGACAGAGAGGGCGTTGCTTGAGTTGAACAAAGTGAAGCTTACCCAGCGACAGGGGGCTGCCAGTGTCACAGCTAGTCACACGTGGAACTGGATTTGAATCCAGATCTAACTGCATAGCCTCCTGTCCCCTGTTCTTCCTGCGAGATTTGGCCAGTGGCAGGGCGATCCTCAATTCTTGGTGACACACAGAGTTTGTGTGGAGGGTCTGTTGCCCATGCTTCAGAATGAAACACTTCCCACGGGGGATTTTCCTCCAATCAACATTCCTTGGTTAAAGCGATTTTGCTTGTTTGGTTTTCCTTGCTAGCCCACACCCTCCAGCCCTGGGATCATTCGTCTGTTTCAAAGGAGGGCCATTTAGAAAATCATGTCAGAGTTGGGTGCAGAAGCAAACCTGGCGTTGACAATTGAGATTGGCTCCATTAGGTGTTTATTGCCAGCAACTTGCTGAACACAGACTCCTGAAACTTGGAAGGGCCGCCGTTGGTTAGAATCTGAGCCCATTTATTTGCTCAGCCGACAGTTACCAGCCAGCCTACAGGTGACAGATGGTATGCCCCGTCTTAGTGAATGCAAGGTGAGTGGACGGGATGTCTGTCTCTCGGAAACCCCAAGGTTGGTGGGGAGGGCAGACGGTTCAACCAGGCCATAGTCCCGTGGGGTTTAAGGGTTATGGCAGAGGGAAGGACACATGATGGGAATACCCAAGGGGACACCCAAACCAGCAATTTCCTTTGGGGATGACAAGCCTTGTGTAGCTGCCCGCAGGGGTAGGTTCTGCTCTGTTTGCGAGGCTCCTCGCTCCACCTGCAGCCAGTGTGACCTCGATGTGCGGAGGTAGGTGGAGATGAGATTGCGGGGCTGTTGGTTTTTAAATTCCTTTATAAGGCACATGACCTGCCGGTCAGATCCCCAGGTGAAGGATCCTGGGCCTCTACTCCGTGCGCATTGACCTTCCCCCTCTGCTTTGAACACGTCTCAGCAAGTCCTCCCGGCCTCGGGACTGACTCTCTGCAGGCTGGTGACAGGTTATCTGTGTTCCTCTCCATCTTCTGCACGTTTTAATCGTTTCCACGCTTTTCTGGACATCTTCCATATTAAAGATGGAAGCTATTAAGACAGTCCCTGGTGAGTGCAGGTTATCAGCTGTGATCGGGATGTGGTTCCCTGCAGATGACATTGGCCAACCCAGCCTCCTCTCCTCCGAGTGCGCCAGCAGGCAGCCCCCGGCGCCTTCCACGGCTCTCCCTGGCTCGAACTCAGGACCTGTTCTGCCATTTTGACCGCCCAGGGATCGGTCAGCAACTTCCTTGGTCTTTGCAGAGAGGTCCATGCATGCACTTCTCAGTCGTCACAGTTTTGGAGTGCCCGTGGATGTTTTAAGTTGGTCTCTCTTGTTAGACTGTGTTTTTGAAACTAACCCGCATTCCTGGCATTTCTGAAAACAGGGCACCTAGTTAGTGCTTGGTACATACAAGGTGCTAACTAAATGCATTTTTAGTAAGTGTGTTCAGGCTTCAAACTAATCTGTATTATAAAATACTTGCGCACGCACGTGTGTGTGTGTGTGTGTGTGTGTGTGTGTGCGCGCGCGCGCCTGTGTGAGAAAGAGAGGGAAGGAAGGAGGGAGCAGTGTCATAGTTTTCCTCATCCTTTATTTACTTTTTAAAGAGCTGTCTTGGTTTTGATAGATGTAAGACTGCAGCATTGTGTCTTGGGCTGGAAGGTCAGCAGGAAGTCGTCATGGAGCCAGATACTTTCAGGATCTCTGGGATACCCCCCCTCTGCAATCTGCATCCTTTTTACAGCGCTGGGAACTCAGCCCTTCCTCTTTGCTCTTCCTTTCAGAAAGTATTATGAGGGAGGCCGAGGACCCCGTGCTCCGGGCAGAGAAGCGGTGCTGGGATTAGGGGTTGCCACTTCTGAGAGGATGCTGGGAATCTGCAGAGGGAGACGGAAATTCTTGGCTGCCTCGCTGACCGTTCTCTGCATCCCAGCCATCACCTGGCTTTACCTGTTCGCCGGGAGCTTGGAAGGTAAGAAGGTGGCTTCCGCACAGGGAGAGGGAGGAGGGACGCACAAGGACACTGGCTGCCCCGGAGTCCTCGGAAGCCCCTCGGGTCATCTGATCCCAACTTGTCACTCTGTGGAACGGGAGGATGTTGGGGCACGTGCGTGCGGACACGTGCCAGGTTTACACAGGTAGCGGGAGGCAGTCCATAGTGAGGAGGACAAAATGCAAACAAAAGCAAAATGAGGTGCGTCTGCATACAGTCGGGGGGGGGTCGTACATGTCAGATCCCAGCCTTGCACGTCGATCGCCATGTCGGTAAGGGGAGAAGGGTTTGGGCCCCGGAGGGATTCCTTCACTGTTCATGGAGCCACATGTTTCTTTCATTCTTCAGTTGTTCGTTTACTCACACGTTGAACGTTTTGTTGTTACCGTTGCTACCGCTCTTGTCAAGCGCCTCTGCCGAGCCCGGTGCTGGGAAGGCGGTGGTAGCAGACCTGGACGTGCACCGTGCCATGGAGGCGGCACGCGTGCGATGGCCAGGCGAGCCCCAGGCACCGTGGGAGACGGTGGTTGGAGCTGTCAGGCCGGGCCCGGTGTGAAAGATGATCAGTCACACTGACTGGCCCAAGAGAGGGATGCAACAGAAGAGCTGCCCTCCCCAAACAAATAAAATCAAACACCAGTCCCTGTCACTTGGCAGAAATCGGTAGAGAAGATGAGACTCGCCCTTCTTCCAGCCAGCAGTTTCAAAGGCAGTGCAGTGTTTCACGGATCAGAGATGGTTTTCTGAGCTTCAGGGAGGGAAGAAGGAATGGCCGCGTCAAGGAGGACACTCTCTTTTTATTTGCCCCCCCCAATTGAAGTCAAAAACATCTCAAGTGAAAACCTGTCTCAAGGAAGTCACTCCTGTGTTTCAATTTTCTTCGAAGATTTTATTGATTCATTTTGAGAGAGAGAGAGAGAGGGGAGGGGCAAAAGGGGAAGAAGAGGGACAAGCAGGCTCCATGCTGAGCGTGGACCCCGACGTGGGGCTCGACTCCACAACCCGGAGACCATGACCTGAGCCGAAATCAAGAGTCGACACTCAACCCCTGTCCCCCTTTTTTTCAAAGATTTTCATTTTTAGAGAGAGAGAATGTCACTATGGTGTTTTTAAACATTTCCTTGATGCATAATTTTATTGACAGCTCAGGGCTGCCTTTTAATTAGGAGGTCCACCGCACTTTCTGAGGTTTGCTCAGCGGCATGTGATCGAGGTAGCACCGTATGTCTGCATAGCAGGAAAGGGCCCAGGACCACACCCCGTCACTCCCTTGTCCCATAGGTCCCTGGAGTAGAGGAGCTTCCATCTGAGCAGCTAAATGGGGTAAATTATGACATGGCAGTGGACGAGTACATTTTGGCAAAGAGATCAGAGGGAGGAAGGTGAGTTGCTGTTGATCCTAGAAGAGACTGAAGGAAGCATTGTGCCGGGGACGATGGAAGAGCCTTGTAAAAAAGGTTGAGAGCACCCGGTGCCAGTCCAGGGCTAGTACAGGAAAACATTGACTTTGCCAGTATAACTGGATGGGTAATGATAATAATAGTGTAAGAATAATAACAACAATGAGGATGATTGTGTTTTAGGCATTTCTGCGGGCCAGGTGTGGTTGTAAGGACTTTGCACGCATTGACTCTTTCTCAGTGGTAATCCCACGTAGTAGGTACAGATGAGGACGGTGGGGCAGAGGTCCTGCGGTGATCTGTCCAAGCCCCAGAGCCAGTCAGGATGGACCTGGGTTATTGGACTCAAGATTTGGAGTGTCTGTCTACAATACCATGTTGTAGATTAGGACTTCAGTGAGGTAGCAGGCTTTGGCGAGAGCTTTGACACGGTGTCACATGACCTTTCTGGATGGCTGTGAGCAGAATTTTGATCTGCACTCATTGATGGAAACCCAACCCCAAATGATTTTGGCAACAAGGGAATTTGGGAGCTAACAAAACCAGTAAGTTCAAAGGTAGGACAGGCATCAGGAAAGGCTGGATCCAGGGGCTCAAATGATAATTTTGTAGCTCAGTCTCCCTCCTTCCCTTTGCTCTACTTTTGTCTGCCATGGTTTCTTTCAGGGCAGTTTTATCTACACAGAGGAAGCTTTAGCTTACAACTTACCCTCACCAGTGCCTATAGAAAGAGTTCTTTCTTCCCCTAATTCTGCAGTATTGCTTTGGATTGAATTGGCCCTGCTCACATGTAGTCCAGACACTAATCGCTGTGGTTGAGGGAGGCTGTGAGGCCAGCCCTGTGCCCTGTGCCTATTTTTGGTCATAGGGTAGAGAGGAGTTCCCTAAAACATGTGGAGTCAGAATGGGGGAGGGGTGGCCCCCAAAGGTAAGTGGTGGAGTTTCTAAAAAAAGGAGACTGGGAGTTGATCTGCAGTATGGAGAATTCATAATCGTCTGTGCTTAGTGATAGGTTGATACCAGCTGGAAGTCTGCTTTCCACCATCACACTATCTGGGCCAGCCCTGGTGGATGGAGTGACCTTGATCCTTGACTTTGAATGATTTCATTAGACTGGCAGATAGACGACGGGAAATGGGGAGGGTCGAGGAAATAATACTCTGAGGTGACCTGCACCGACTGGGTGTAGGTGCCTTATTTATCAACATTGATGCTTATCATAAATCCTCCCCTTGGGATCAAATCACAAATGGCATTAAACAGGGGCTAGATGATGTGAGTACATTAACAGGTATTCTCACTGGAATGACAGAGGTGATGTGTGTCTTTTATAGGGTATCTGTTAGTCCATAGCTGGACCACAGCATTTATTTCTGGATGCCACACTTTAAGAACAGGCGAGACAAGTCAGCATATTTAGGAGAATCATGGTGAATGACAGTGCCAATTCAAACCTTGTTACCTACGAAATAGTGGAAGGAATTGGGGCTATTTACCTTGGAGAAGCAGAAGCTGCAAATGTACATGATCAGCTTCAGCAAGCAGTCAGGGGGCTGTCACCTGAAAGAGAGATGGCCCCCAAATCTATGGAGGGACGTGGCAGGGAGCCAGCTGTCAAGCTCATCATAGTAAAGGATCACTCTGTCCAGGGCTGGAATGAGCTGCCCTGAGAGGTAATGAAAAACCTAACATGAGAGGTGTGTAAACAGGAGTGCAGTGTGGCGGTGGGGGGGTGGAGCTCAGCGTCAGGGGTGAGGGCACAGGATGACCTGCCTGACCTATCCTGAGCCAGAGATTGGAGACTCTAGAAAAGGCAGAGTCTTTACTGGGAGACAAAGGGTACTTCCTTGCAGCCCCTGCCAGTTGCCAGTGGACATCTGTGCATTTCCAAAAGAGCCCATGGAGACATGCTTTTCTCTGTAGTTAAACATAACAACTTTGCAATCCATTTATCGACACCCGTGAGTTTTCTGTTTCAAGGCAGGGGAAGCCATAAATAAGGGACAGAGCTGCTGCCTGTTTTCATGAAAATGCTATTTATACTTTATGTGAGTTTGTTTATTTTTCAACCCTGTTTAATTTCATTAGCTCTCCTGGAGATACAGATGCCCTCAGCACAAAGTTTTGGAGTTAGATTACACACAGCAGCAAGATACATTGAGAGCGCACTAGATTGTGGCCGGGGGGTGGTCTCAGGCTCCCAGATCAGCTGAGCCAGAGTAGCTGGGTGATTGGGGGTACGATCACCGCTCTTTCTAGGCCTTTGTGTCCTGTTGCATGAAATGACATAAAACTGAAGGTCACCTATGGGGGCTCTTGGGGCCCTAACATTCTAGAACTTTTCTGTTCTTGGCATCTGATGTGAATGAGTTGGAAATGACCAGGATCTTCCCCAGTTAATGGGAAATATGTCCAGAAGAGGGAATGGGCTTCCTGTGATTTGCTCCTGAGTGTGGATCCAGGATCGATGCATAAATGTTATGGGGAAGCAGACATGGTCTTCATATAAGAAGGAACTCTTGCTGTAAGAATTAGACTCGCCAGGTATCAGAGTCCACCCTCTGGGGAAGTGATGAGATCCCCATGCTCAGAGCTGTTTGTCAGAGGTCAAGTGACTGTTGGTTATGGATACTACTCAAGGGGGGTGTTGTTGCTGGTACTTCGACCCCCGAATTCTTAAGCCCTACTTCCTTCATTCCTTCTCCAATCCACCTTTCTTCCTCTAGCATCTCAGTGACCCTTCCCAGCTTCCCGTCCTTCATGCTCAAAGCGGTGAGTCTTCGCGTCAACCCTTGGGTCCCTGCTGAGCACGCCGGCCCCTCACCCTTAACGAGGTCAGCTTCCTGTACCACACGTGTCCAAACTCCTTGTACTGTCTTTTCTTCACACCCGCTTTACTTTTCTTGTTTTTTTCCTAATCACCTGTCTTCACAAGTGAGTACCAGCGTCCAGAAGGAAGGAAGAGGTTGTCTTCTGTTCAGCCTTCTATCTCTAGAGGAGCCAGGAGAACCGTTTGTTGAATGAGTGAATGAGCGAAGAATGCCCTCTTCTGGCTTGGAGGGCTGACAACTCTCCCCATTGCCTCCTGGATTCTCTCCAGACTCCTGATCATGGCTCAGGGTCTTTCACGGGCATTTTCCCTTAGCTTATAATTTCTGTCTTCACTCAGGTGAGCACCTCATTGAACACCCGGAGAAAACTTGTTTTTTCCTGCTTCTTAATGTTTGCTCTTTGCTCTTTCTGCCCAGTATGCAATTCTCTTTTTTTCCACTACCCTTCCTCCTAGCTGGCGTCTTCAGTGCTCACGTTCAGTGTCATTTCCCCCTAATGTCTGATCCCGTGTGGAAGCTTCTGTGACAGAAGGGGTAGTTTGCTTGTTCTGTGTCTTTCTAGCCACTGGCTTTTGAGTTTGGTGAGAAGGGGGACTGTTTTACTCATCTTTACGTTTTCAGAGTCTGGGCATCAGTCTTAGTGGGTCCTTAGTATGAATGTTGACTGGGAGGGAGTCTGGATATTGAGGGATGCAGGAGCAACTCCTGGGGCTCTGAGCATCTGTGATTTTGAGACCCCAGAATATGG